CTAATAAAAAAATCAAAAAAAAAAAAATTTAAAAAAAAAAAAAAGGAAATCAGGTCAATAGAAAGAGATACAAAATTGGGGCGCCTGGGTGGCTCAGTTGGTTAAGCGACTGCCTTCGGCTCAGGTCATGATCCTGGAGTCCCAGGATCAAGTCCCGCATCGGGCTCCCTGCTCGGCAGGGAGCCTGCTTCTCCCTCTGCCCCTCCCCCCTCTCATGTGCTCTCTCTCATTCTCTCTCTCTGAAATAAATAAATAAAATCTTAAAAAAAAAAAGATCAAAATGAAGAGATAACAGACTTAGAAGGATTAAACATCTATTATCAATATGTTGGTTATGCTTAGCAATTTAAAGAAAAATGTGAATGCAACAGGACAGAAATGAAAGATTAAAAAGGACTAAATTGAACTTTTAGAACTGAAAAATATCTGAAAGTTTGAATTTCACCAAGTGATATTAACAGTATATTTGATGTAAAAAAAGAAATAACTGAAATTTAAGATATAGCAATAGAAATAGTTCAAACTGAGGCAAAGAGAAAAAAACTAGGAAAATGATTAGCTCCTAGCTGAATTGTGAGATAATATCAAGTGGTCTAATGTATGAAATATTAGGAATGTCTGAATGCAGGAGGATGGGAGTAAAAAAAATTCCCAAAATGTTTCCAAATTTGATGAAAATGAATCCCACAAACCCAGAAATTTTAATGAACAACAAGCAAGATAAAGACCAAACCTTACCAAAGTACCTGATGCTCAAACTGCTGAAAAACATCGAAAAGAGAAAGGAAACATCATGGGGGACTGGGGTACATCAGCATTAGAAACGAAGTAAACCAGAATGACTTCTTTAAAGAAAAAAAAAGTCAACTTAAGTTTTATATGGAGCAAAAATATCCTTCAAAACTGAAAGCAAAAACACAGAATATTTTCTTTAGCAGACTTGCAGGAAAAGTTCTTTAGGTGGAAGAAAAATTTTTCAGATAAATTTTTGGATCTTCAAGAAACAATGAAGAGCTCTGGAAATACATATATGTGTAAATATAAGAGAATTCTAATTTTTAACTTAAAAAATAATTGACTGTTTTAAGCAAAACTAATGTATTTTGGTATTAATAACATGCAGGGATAAAATGTATGACAACAATAACAAGGGGTGGGAGAGGGTTAATGGAAGTACAATTCACTGAAAGCTTATATTTTACACAAAGAAGTATATTGTTTGAAGGGAGACTCAGATGTTAAGGATACATATTGTAAATACTAGAGAAACTAACACACACAAAGAGATACAGCTATTTGTGGAGATAAAAATGGAATGCTAAAAATCCATCCAAAGAAGATAGAAAAAGAAGAAGAAAAAAGAAAAGATTTGAAAAAAAAATAAATGGCAAGATGATCCATCCCAAACTGATCAATAGCTACATTAAATGCAAATGGTCTAAACACTCCAACTAAAAGGAAGTAGCAAGAACTGTAAGGATTTTAGATTTTACTTTTACAAGATAGCAGGTTAGACTACCATAGTTTCATAGAGGCTGGCAGAAAACAAAAGCCTTTGTTACTTCAAGTGCATGTTTACATTGGTTTCCCTTGACTCCCAAGCCCCACGGGGGGGGGGGGGGGGGGCAGATATGCCCAGGTGGATGCTGTGCACACAGTGGGTTTGTATCCTAGCTAAAGGAAGTCCCAATCTTCCATAAGAGGTTACTAGCAAACCTACCCAGCTTTTGCTTTTGAGGAGACATTATCTCCATTATGCTAGACAGTAAACAAATCTGCTCTAGAGGAGACTATATCTTCCAAGTTTGCTTACTACACAAACATCCTTGAAAAGATAGTCTAGAACAAAAAATATTAAAACCTTTGCTTAGAAAACAGAAACATGAAAGACCCATAGAGAATTTTCCCCCAACAGGCAGAGACTATTAACCTGGATTTTTAAAAATGCAAAAAGAGCTATGAACTATTAGAAACACACTTTGTATATAAATGTTAACAGGTTTAAAAATTAAATATATACAATGAAAACAAAAATCTTAAGAAAACTAAAATGGCTATATTAATAACATAAGGTGGTTGTCAGAACAAGTCATATTATTGGTGCTAAATATTTTATAATGATAAAAGGTTCACACAAAATAATCATAAACATATGCATCAAAATATGTTAACCAAAGAATTCAAAGAACAGACAAATCCACAATTATAACTGAAATATAAACATTCCTCTCTTAGAAATGGACGAGAAAATCAGTAAAGAGATAGAAGACTTAAATGACATTACCAGCCAATTATCTTACTGATATTTAAAGAATACCCCAATATAAACAGAACACATATTCTTTAAAGTATACCATGAAACAATAAAATAGACCATCTGCTGGGCCATAAAGTAACTCTAAGTGGATTCATAGGATTGAAGTGATAATATGTACTTTGGTCACACACACACACACACACACACACAGAAACAACAAAAACACAAAAAAACCTTTTAGAACTAATTAAAGAACATAAACATTCCATAAAGTGGACAAAAGATTTCAACTATTTCTAAAAAGATATACAAATAGCCAAGATGTACATGAAAATGTGGGAAATTAATTAATGAAAATACCACTATACACCTATTTGAATTAGTAAAACTTAAAAAGCTGACTGTACCAACTTTGGTTAGGATAAGAAACAACTGGTACTCGCTTACTTACATCATTGCTATGGAAATGGTATAAGCACTGTAACTTACAAAAAAAAAAAAAAATCCCTGACAGCTTTCCATATATGTGAAATATATATATGACTCAGTTATTCCACTCAGGTGTTCACTGGAGAGAAATAAACATGTTCACACAAAGAATTGTACATGAATATACAGAGCTTTGTTCATAACAGCCTGAAAGTGCAAACAGCCCATTAAGTCCATGGATAGGAAAACTGATTTTTAAAATGTGTATCAGGGTGCCTGGGTGGCTCAGTCGGTTCAGCATTGGCTCTTGGTTTCAGCTTGGGTCATGATTCTGGGGTTGTGGGATCCAGCCCTGCATTGGGCTCCATGCTCAGCATGGAGTCTGCTTGGGATTCTCTCTCTTCCTCTCCCTCTGCTCCCCCCACCAAAGTAAATGAAAAAATCTTTAAAAAAACTAAAAATAAAATGTATAGTTACTTATATGATGAGCACTGAGTATTGTATAGAATTGTTGAATCATTATATTGTACACTATAGAAACTAATACTGTATATTAACTACACTGGATTTAAAATAAAATAAAGGTATATCTACAACAATGGAATATTATTGAAGGAACTTACACACAATAACACTAATGAACTTTAAAAACTTTATCTTAATGGAAAGATAAAGCACATATGATATTCCATTTATCTGGAACTCTAGAAAATAATCAATCTATAGGGATAGAAAGCAATCAGTGTTTATGGGAAATGGGAATATATGGGGAAATAAATGGGAAATAAATAGATGGGAAAATATCTCATGTTCATAGATCAGAATTAATATTGTTAAAATGTCCACACTACCAAAAGCAATCTACAGATACAATGCAATCCCTATCAAAATTCCAATGTCATTTTTCACAGAAACAGAAAAACATCTTAAAATTTGTATGAAACCACAAAGACCCTGAATTGCCAAAGCAATCTTAAGAACAAGGATAGAATCATCACATTTCCTGATTTCAAACTATATTACAAAGCTATTGTAATCAAAGCAGTACAGTTTGGCATAAAAACAGACATAAAGATCAATGGAGCAGAACAGAAAGCCCAGAAATAAATCCATATACATATGGTCAGGTCACAAAGGATCCTAGAATACACAATGGGGAAAGGTTAGTCTCTTCAGTAAATGGTGTTTGGAAAACTGCACAGCCACATGCAAAAGAACAAAAATGGACTTCTTAACACTGTACACAAAAATCAAGTCAAATGGATTAAAAACTTGAACATAAGGCCAGAAACCATAAAAGTAGAAGAAAACATAAACAGTAAGCTCCTTGACACTGGTCTTAGTGATATTTTGGATCTGACACCAACAGCAAAGGCAACAAAAGCAAAAACAAGTGGGACTACATCAAACTAAAAAACCTGCACAGCAAAGAAAACTACAAACAAAACGAAAAGGCAACGTATGGAATGGGAGAAAATATTTGCAAATCACACAACCGATAATGGGTTAATACCTAAAATAACACAAGTAAATCCTACAACTCAAGAGCAAAAAAACAAATGACCCAATTAAAAAAATGGGCCAAGAACCTAAATGGACATGTGCTGCCGAAGCGAGCACCTAAGTGGACGTTTTTTCAACAACATACTAACAGCCAACAGGTCCCTGAAATGGTGCTCAACATCAATTATCAAGGAAATGCAAATCAAAACCACAATGAGGTATCAAGTCACACCTGCCACGATGTCTATTTCCAAAAAGACAAAAGAGAGAATTGCTGGCGAGGATGTGAAGAAAAGGGAACCCTGTGCGCTGTTGCTGGGATTGTCAACTGGTACAGCCACCATGGAAAATATTATGGAGATCCTTAGAAATTAAAATTAAAACTACCGTATATATGATCCAGGAATCCCATTTTTGGGTAATGGACAAAAGGAAGCCAGAGCATTATCATGAAGAGGTATCTGCAACCTCATGTTCATTCCAGTACTGCAATAGCAACGTATGGAAACAACTTAATCTGTCCATTGACAAATGAATAAAGAAAATGTGGTATCTATTTCTCTCTCCCCTTCTCTCTGCCCAAATGCAGCAGGCTTTTCCGCACACGGAGGCCTTGTACGGCCGCCTGGCAGGGCAGGGCTGGGCGGGGCGCGATGGGGAATCCCCTCTTGAGGGCGGTGGCGAGAGGCGGGGGCGGGGCGGAGTGACGAGTTGGGGGGCGGAGCCGCGGGAAAGGGGTGGAGCCGCGGGAAAGGGGTGGAACAGGGCGGGGCCGGGGGTGGGGCGTTGCCGCAGAGGGGCGGGGCGGAGCCGAGGCGCCGGTCCCGGGTGGGGGCGGGGCGAGCGCGGCGAACCTGGGAAGCCTGTCTGACCGCGCAGGTCGCACTGCCGGGTCTGCGGCGGGCCCCAAAGGGACCCCCAGCCGCTCTCCTGATGGGGCTCTGTTTTCCCTGTCCTGGGGAGACCGCGCCTCCCTCGCCGGACCTGGTGAGTAAGGCCGCGTCCCCACGTCCCCCGGTTCCCGAGTCGGCGGACCCGCGCCGCGCGCACCTGTTCTCCGGAGGGGCGCCCCGGGAGGCCCCGAGCTGTGGGCCCCGGGCCGGGCCGTTGGAAGCGGGGGCGCGGGCTGGAGAGCTTGCCGGTGGGTGTCTGGTGGCGAAGACGCGTGGAAGCGCTCCGAGGAACCTTGGGTCCGGCGTTGGGACCTGAGCCGCCGACGCCTCCGTGTCGCTCTCTCCACTTCCGTTACAAAAAATCGTCCAAAGGCGGCTCCGGGGCGTTTACCTTTCGCAGACTTGGGCGAAATTGGGAGTTGGTAGGACGCAGGCGTACGCGGACGGTGCGGTGTGGGGGCCATTCTTGGCGATGCGGTGGATGGAGTCAGGGTGCAAAAAGGATTGCTCTCTTCGTCAGCGGGGGTGTTTAATCTTCTAGGAGATGTGCGTTTTCCTGTGTCTGTACCAACTGTTTAAAGAAGGTGCTCAGTAAAGTCTCTTACACTCCTGTGCTTTATTGGATATTGTAGTAATCAGTGATTTCCCATTACTATTTCCCTCTCTTTCGAGTTCTTCCTTCTTTTAAAACAGTACGGATTTTACTTTGTAAAGGGCGTACAATTTGTAACGTTGCCACGTACAGCAAATAAAAATACCGGGTGCCCAGTATTTTTCACGTATTTAAATTAGAATTTTTCGATAAATTTTAGATAAAAAAGAATACATTTTAAAAATAGATGTGCCTCATGCAGTATTTGGGACATATTTATACTAGAAATTATTCATTGTGTAGCTGGAATTCCCACTTAGGTGGTTTGTGGTACAATTCATTTATACTTTTGTACCTTCCTATTTACAACAGTATCTTTACATTAATAGTCCTTACAGGTTGTTGCTAACAGAAGAGCTAAATTCCTCTGTTCTCCTATCTAAAAATTCGTTGAAGGAAATGAGTTGTTTCGGGAAGTACATTAACTCTTCAGCCATTTGATTATGGGTACTAAAAATGACCTGGAAGTCGATATGGGAAAGTTTACCTTGTCTTTCTTGCTACGGTTGCTTTTAAGTGTTGTTAATTTTGTTTTTATGACTGTTGAGAAAATACCAATATGCCAGCATTTTTTAAGCCCTCCCCCTCTTCCCCACAGATAAACACATGGAGCACTACTTGAATGTCACTTTATCTTTGGAGTTTATTGGGGGCCACCCTAACTAAACCAGCCACTCATCATTCCATTTCTTACCCACCATACTCTTCTTTATATTTTCTCAAAACACTTACTACTATTTAACAGACATGTATTTACTTGATTATATTTACCTGCGTCCCCTCGTTGGAATGTAAGTTCCATCTGTGTAGAAGTGTTTGTGTTTTTTCACTGCTGCATCCTCAGTACCTAGAAAAGTTCCAGAGGCATGATAGTTGCTCAGTAACTATTTGTCTGTTGAATGAATAAATGTATGTATTGTGGTATGAAAAACAAAGGAACTATTAACACAGCTGCCAAGAGAATTCTATTTACTGTCTTATATATTTAAAGAATTTATAATTTATAATTATTAATAATAGTACATGATATAAAAAGTAATATCCACCGTTTCCCAACATGGAGCGGTACCTCTTACTAATTTCCTTCAGGGCTTCCTGTCCTACAAAATGAGATTAGCTCACTTCATTGATGAACATTTCCTGAAAATACCAGGCTACTTCAAACCACGTATTTCCTTCCTTGTCTTATTAAATGTCATTTGTTTTATTATTGCCCTGACTAGCTTGTAAGCCCCTCTTTTTTTTTAAAAAAAGCAAATGAATTATTTTATAGGCCAACCTGAATATATATATGCATATATAATATGTATATGTGTCTTATGTACTTATTTGAAGATATATTGATTGGAAGAATGAAATTCAGGAAGTTGGGTATTTCATAAACATTGTAAACAGTGGCAGTCTTAGTGGGACATTTTGAACAAGTACTAAATATTTTTGTAAATTGGTTATATTATCTCTAAGATATAAATTATCCATGATAATGTTTCATTTTATTTTAAAACATTTTTTTACACATTTTCTTTAGGAAGAGAAAAGAGCAAAGCTTGCAGAGGCTGCAGAGAGAAGACAGAAGGAGGTAAGAGTAGAAATAAAATTCTGCCCATGTAGATAATTGTATACTTTATTCTAGTTATTACTAGTATCTCTAATGAAAATGGTGTCTGATAACCTGTAAATTTACATGTAATCGTTTTTCAGAATGATTTCTGTATTTCTGTAGGTTACATTAATGCATTTATATCATTTAATGCATGAAAATTACAGATGTCTTCTGTAATGTGAGATTCCCCTTTAATACCCTTCTTCCTTGGGCTACCATATGATCCAGCAATTGCACTACTGGGTATTTACCCCAAAGATACAAAAGTAGGGATCCGAAAGGGTATGTGCACCCCGATGTTTATAGCAGCAATGTCCACAATAGCCAAACTGTGGAAAGAGCCAAGATGTCCATTGACAGATGAATGGATAAAGAAGATGTGGTATATATATACAATGGAATATTATGCAGCCATCAAAAGGAATGAGATCTTGCCATTTGCAACGACGTGGATGGAACTGGAGGGTATTATGCTGAGCGAAATAAGTCAAACAGAGAAAGACATGTATCATATGACCTCACTGATATGAGGAATTCTTAATCGCAGGAAACAAACTGAGGGTTGCTGGAGTGGGGGGTGGGGTGGGAGGGATGGGGTGACTGGGTGATAGACACTGGGGAGGGTATGTGCTCTGGTAAGCGCTGTGAATTGTGCAAGACTGTTGAATCTCAGATCTGTACCTCTGAAACAAATAATGCAATGTATGTTAAGAAAAAAAAAAAAGAAGATAGCAGGAGGGGAAGAATGAAGTGGGGGAAATCAGAGGGGTGGATGAACCATGAGAGATGATGGACTCTGAAAAACAAACTGAGGGTTCTAGAGGGGAGAGGGGTGGGAGGATGGGTTAGCCTGGTGATGGGTATTGAGGGCACGTTCTGCATGGAGCACTGGGTGTTATGCACAAACAATGAATCATGGAACACTACATCTAAAACTGATGATGTAATGTATGGGGATTAACATAACAATAAAAAATAATAATAAAAAAAAAGAAAAAGAAAAAAAATACCCTTCTTCCTTGGGATAATATGACGATGCCTTATAAAACACTGACAGATGTGAAATTTAAGGAAAAAATACCCAATGAAAAAATGATAATATGTTTCATATAAAGCCATTGTAGAAATAGTCTAGTTCTTTATAACCAAAGATAAAACCCCTCACCTCCAAAGAAAAACCTAAAAAGCAACAGATGCCTTTTGGATACCAAATACTGATTTTTGTTGTTTTTCTGTACCACTTAATAAATTTTCTAAAGGCTGCATCCCGGGGCATTCTGGATGTTCGGTCTGTGGAAGAAAAAAGAAAGAAAAAGGAAAAAATAGAAAAACAAATGGCTGAATCTGGGCCCCCACCAAAAGGTGGGCTTAGGGTAAGTATTAAAATTTACTTAAGGTTTAATTTACCTGGAGTTTTTAAAAACTTCAGTAGCAGTCTGTTCGATAATTTCCTCTTGCAATGGATTATCAGGAAATTTTGAATTAATTTAAAAACATGAATAATAGATATTGGAAGAAGTGCCAATTTATTTGGACATTCCAATATTCATTGTAATAGATTTGCCTTCTTTTTCCCAAAAGGAAAAAAGATTGTTTTTCCTGATTATCTTAACGCTATGTCTTAGTACTTTATATAATTAATATTAATATATAGGAAACTTAATATGAGGAATATAAAGAACATAAAAATCACCCCAAGTCATTTTGACAGGCATCATTTTTAATATCCATTATACATTAATCTTACTAAATTGGATTACACTATGGATTCTTTTTTTTTAATATAACCTACATTTTTTCACTCAGTGATTTGAAGTTTTTGAGCTTTCCATTGTCACTCATTATCATAGTTAAGTAAATGTCAATTTGGATAATAGGGTGTATGGGAGGGTAAGTGTGATACATGTACCTCCCACCTCCCAATGTAGCAATTGCAGTTCTTGACACGGGAAATATAATGATAGACAAGTTAAACAGGTCCCTGAACGTGGGGAGCTTTACAGGCTGCAGGACTATAAAGGTTCTATTTTACTTGTTAAAACTCAATAAAATAATTGTCCAGATATTAAGATTTTATTCTTTGGTCCATTTTTAAAGGAAATAAATTTCTTAAGTATATTTGTGAAAAGACAGTGTCCTGAATTTCAGTTGTTTATATTTAACTTGTCAATGATTTATTAGCACTTATTTAGCTGATTTACTGGCTTCTCAATTTGTTTTTTTAATTTTTAATTTTTTTAAGTCTAGTTAATACACAATGTTACCTTAGTTTCAGGTGTACCACATAGTGATGCAGCTTCTCAATACGTTTTGCTATGCTCACTTCAAGTGTAGCTACCCTCTGTCACCATACAACACTATCACTATCACAATACTTTTTTTTTTTTTTGCTTCTAAAACTATATATAAACTATATATAAAAAAACATACATGTATATATCCTCCTAACCTGTGGGGCAGGCCATTTAGGAGCCTCCTGATCAGAGGTGATTCTGGCTCAGGAATATCACATAGGGATAAGATTTATCTGTGTGTATTTCACCATTGTATATTCATCTAATTTTGTTTAATAAAGGAAATTAAGAGAAAACAAATTTTTTATCATTAATTTTTAACAATGTGTAGAATAATTGGTTTCAATGTTAAGGTAAATAACTGTGACCTTTGTGCTTATATTTTTTTATATGCCTCCACAATAGAATAGAATAAATCTGTAAAGTAAAACGGTTGATACAAAGCCAAATATTTATCAGAAATATAGATGTTTAATTATTCCACTAAGATATAGGTCTGTGCCACCAGGTTTACTTAATAGAAGGTTCTCAAAAACAAACAAAAAATTATGAAAATTAAATTGTAGGACTGGAAATGATGCTGAGTTTCAGTGTTTTCATAATAGAAGAAATGGAGGGACTGTGCGACAATCAAAATCACATATAATGTTGTAAGAAAAAGATACTTTATATGTAGCCAGAATTAAGAGGGTACTTATTTGACATATTCTAAACTAACAAATTTCACATTAGCTTTTAAACTCTAGGAAAGAAAGCAGCTTTCTTAATTAAACCTGAAACATAGCCTGAAGCCTATAGATTAGAAATAAATTAGGCCATGTACTGCTTCTGATCCCTTCAGAAGTGCTCAGAATAAAATCATCCCAATTTTAAATTTAGTACCTATTTTCTTTGTGTACTGTTCTTACAAGAAAGCTCTCTGGATCCACTAATAAAAATCACCCTCAAGGCCATCAAAGTTGGACAGTGGCTCATTCTTAGAAACCACACCTGTTACACACTGTGTCATTTTCCCTTGGAATATGCCTAATCACTTCTACCATTAATACACTAGCTTTAAGGGATGTCCTCCTTTCTCCTTGACCCATCTGCATAGATCATCAAAAGCATACAGTGAAGTTCAAAATCAATTTTTAGAGGCTCAGAGCTAACAGAAGGGGGAACATAAGACAGAGTGTGACTTTAATTTTCAAACCCCTTGGCCTAGGGTCCTTTAAAGACTGCTGCCGGGCCTGTTCTGCAGGCTAGCCTGGAGGGTCCTATTATGTAGCTAGATTCTTCCCAACTGGACTCCATAGACTGAGGAAAACATGTCCTTTCCCTGTCTTCATGAACTCCACATACTCATCTCCTGACTAGCTCTGCCTAGGATAATTGGCATTGGCAATGCTCACTATCTTCTGGAAAGGCAGCCTTATTTTTTATCTTTTTAATTTCTTTTTATTGATACACAATGTTACATTAGTTTCAGGTATACAACATAGTGATCCACAAGTCTATACACTATGCTGTGCTCACCACAAGTGTAGCTACCATCTGTCACCATACAGCCCTATTACAGTACCATCGACTGTATTCTCCAAGCTCTACCTTTTTTCCCCATGACTTATCATTCCATAATTGGAAGCCTGTATCTCCCACTACCCTTCACCCATTTTGCCCATCCTCCCACCCCCTCCCCACCAGCAACCATCAGTTTGTCTCTGTATTTATGACTCTGTTTCTGCTTTTTAATTTTTTTTGTTTTGTCTTTCTCTGTCTGACTTATTTCACTTAGCGTAATACTAATTCCATCCATGTTGTTGCAAATGGCAAGATCTCATCCTTTTTTTATAATGGCTGAGTAATAGTCCGCATTGTGTGTGGGGGAAGGGCACACACAGCACATTTTATCCATTCATCTAGCGATGGACACTTAGATTGCTTTCATATCTTGGTTATTGTAAAGAGTGTTGCAGTAAACATACAGGTGCATAGATCTCTTCAAATTAGTGTTTTCATTTTCTTTGGGTGAATACCCAGTAGTGGAATTACTGGATCATATGTTATTTCATTTTTAATTTTTTGAGGGATGCCCCCCATACTGTCTTCCACCGTGGCAAGGCTTATTTTAAGAGGTGAGTGTGATGCTGGCATCCGGGTGCACACTAATACCAGTACAGGATATAACAGTACAGGACTAATGGCAGACCTCTCGGGCAGTGGCTCTCAACCCTGGCTGCATGGTAGGATCTCAGGAGGAACTTCCTAACAAGGTTGACTCTTGGGTCCCACCTCATACCAATCAGAATCTCTGAGAGTGGAGTTTAGTCATCAAGACTCTTTTGAGCCCCTCAAGGTAGCCTAAGCCAAACCAGATTGAGAATCACTACTCTAGTGTCTTCAGAGATATATTGTGGGAAATAAGAGTCCTATGTTTAAAAAAAATCTATTTTAAAATCCTGGATCCCATCTTGTATCCTGAATCCTTTTCTTAGAGATTAAAAAAGGCACAGTGTTCAAGTCTCTAAGAGGTCCTAAAATAAACAAAAGCAACTTTACTTGGATTAACCCTGAATTTTCAAAACTTAAATACAGATTTTAAAAAAATATGTAACACCCAATAAAATTCCTTGGATGTACATGAAAACCACTGCTCAAGAGACTGGTAAATACCTGGTACCATCCCAGGGGCTCTTTTCAGAATTTACTACTGCAGATTTGATAGAGTTGATTGAATAGAACAACAAAGTTTCTCAGGTCAAGCAAGGAAAAGACTTTGCCAAACCATTGCTTAATTTCTGCTAGTTCTTGCCTCCCTGCCTCAAACAAGAATTCCTCTATTTTTATTTTATAGGTTTCATTGTTTTTATTTTGTGGTGTTTTGTTTTATTTTTCCTGAACTGATTATTGGATATTTGGGATTTAGCCACCCATTAATCTGCCCAGATATTTTGTTTTACTTCTTTATGTTTTTAAACAATCATATGTCTTATTTCAGAAGTTTGACCATATTGTAAAATTATACTTCTCACTGCCACACACAGAAATCATTTTGCATTTGTATAGCCCACATTCCTATTTTTGTTCACAAGGATATTTTCACATAACTTTAAAAAAATTTACTTTTTCCCCATATATTTTTATCTTTTCTAGTGGACAGTTTCATAAGCATAACATGAGTGGAAAAGTCTACTGCCAATAACTAATATCTGCAATCAAGTGGACGTCCTCAGCTTACTTTCTTCTCTGAATAAACGAAGATTCAGACTTTGCAATTTGAGTGCCATGAAATGCAGTCAGTGCTTTTTCAATATTGATATACTGAAAATGCTTTTGATTTTCAAACTTAGAAAATGCCAGACCTTTCATTAAATACTTATTTTCTTATATTTGCTCTTCTGCAGGCAGTAGGCAATTTGCCATTTTTTAGTAGTTAAAACATGGACCTAAATAGTGAATAAATATATATCGCATGTAAAAAGTCTGCATACATCTCAGACATTAAAATTTGCCATTGTATTTTCTCTCCTTTATAAAATGACCTCGCAGTCTATAGTTTTCTGCTTAGCCTTGTATCTCTTTATTTCATTATCTGTGAAGGCTTTCGCTTAAACTTATGGACTTTGTGCCTTTAAACTGGTCATCAGGGAAAATTTTGAAAAATCATTTGAAGGGCTTATGTGAAGGAACAATGTAAATTTTTATAACTTGCTAAGTAATGAAAATTTGTAGAAAATTATGAATTTCTCCTTATTTATTTTCTATTTCTGTGGCTTATAAAATTAACATTTGGTGTTTTACATTGCAATAAATTTGTTTTTTTGCTTGCTGAATCTAAAATTATATATTAGTAGTACCATCAGAGGGCAGTGATGTACTATTACACAATATCAGATTCAGCTCTAAAGATCTTTGTAGAAACGGAATGAATTAAACTAAGAATCTGGATGGGCTATACTGAGTAGTAGTATATTTGTCCAAATTTCACAGGTGTTTTTATTCTTTTATATTTATTAAAGAATGATCATAAGATTTGTACAGATATGAAATTGCCAATGCAAATGTGAATGTATTGAAATAGAAACATGTAGGTACTGTATTTTAAAAGGTCTACTTTAAACATAAAAATACTATGAGGTAATTCTATGGGATTCAGAGTCATAAATTTTTCAGATTTGTGTTTATTAGTAACATGAGTTTATAGCATTTTTGTTTTTTGAGTGTTTCTAGTATATAATAAGCTAAAATAGAAGAATTGCTGTATCTTTTAATTTGGTTGCTCTTTTGGATGACAGGGCCACAATCTGAGTCCTAAATTAGAATTCATACATAGTAAGTGCCAATAGGAATTATAAATTAAATAGACCAGCTCACTTGATTTACAAAAAGAAAATCAAGCCATTATTGTGCTCATCCTTCCCACAAGACTTACGTCATATAGCAGTATATTGTATATGTTAATTTTAAAGAGTTTGAACTCTAAGTCTTGACTCTTGATTGGAAAAATTACTTTTTTCTATTGTGGTATAAAATAGTTTATGAATATCCAGTCGAGACATACATTTATACAGGCTCAATTTTCTTCATCCTTTAGAAGATTAGTGGTATTTTTGTTCACAAAGGATAGTGAAATCATTAAATTGTATTATAGAAATAAAATTCTTGACTTTATGAACATGATTAATTTTTCCAAGGCAGAAAGGAAAAAAGATCCTCAATAGCTGAATAGATATAGAACCAGAGCATATTATCCTTGAACTGTGCAAATCCTTTCTTCTGCTTTAATATAGAAAGAATAATTTTATCTGTACTACATCTTAAGAATTACAGCTTGGGTTGGTGTAAACAAAGGTTTATATCCAGGGGATAATGCCCTATTTCTAATGGAGTTTATATCCAAATACCATGCTTATTTACTATTGAACCATGAATGATTTGGTGGTGTATTGCCTTCTGGGAACAATGGGATATGCTGCTCCAGCCAATCATGCATGGCCTGCCTCCATGGGTTATAATCAGCTTTCCCCAAAACCACATGGGATACATGGGCTAAGTGATAATACTAAAACGTTAAGAGTAGTTTTAGGAAGGGGAAGGGAAAAGAGGAGATGAGATGCTTGGTAAGAAACTAGTAAGTGACTACTTAAAAAAAAATTGTACATAGACATCCAAGCATCTCCCTCATCAAGTTATGAATCAGTTCCTGATGGAAACCTTAACTTGGAACCAATTTCCCATAAATCATAATTTAAATAGGAAAACATGGTGTAATGCTTAATATGTCACCCAAACCCTCCAACAAATTACTAAAATATAACTGAAACAGTAAAATACATATTTGTTAACTATCATGTTAAGATGTAAAATGCTAAAACTACTGCTTCTTAATTCTAATCATCAAACTAATATGACTGGTAACAAAAAGTTGTATATTATCACACAGCCCCTTTGTTGACATGCTGCATGTTTTTTTTTAAACATCTATATGTGCTGCTATGGTTCCACCGATTGTATTTGGAATGTAATTAATAGTTTTCACACACATGGTTTGTTATAAATCTGTATTGCCTTATGCGGACACAAATATACATTTTTCCTATATAAAAATTGACTTTGGCCATCTCTTTAACAAAATTTTATCTTTACTATGTATTAAATAATTAGAACTTGGGTAAATGGTTAAGGAAACCATGACACTTTCATCTCTTTGGGATGAATGAGAACAACAGAGCTAAAGGCTATTGGTATGATCATAAAATCCCTGAATTTATAGCAAGGCATGCTTCTTTTTCTATACTCAAAAGGAGGAATGATATTGTTAGTGTCCTGTTTTCTAGAGAGAGAGCAAAATAATATAAAGGTTCTAGCTATCATCCTTGATACCCCAGGAGAATTGATGTCAGCTTTGAATTTTCCTTTTCTCCTCCAACAGTTCAACTTGTTTATCTTCACTAAGAATTATCCTGTGCCCTTTGAAGAAAAAGTAACTTGTCAGTTTTAGTTTCAAATAATATCTGCATAAATAGGTCAGTAAGAGACAGGTAGGTAGATAGGCATCCCTATCTGTGTTGACATTTAAGGTGTGCGGTGTTTTTTTTAACATTTTCAAACAAGCATCTCAAATTCCCATGACCACATGTGCTTTAAGTTGATTCAAATGTGGCTCCATAGCCATTTTCTTTGACATTCTCAAAAGCCACTAAGAAGGCATTTGTGTATTTCACAGACTTTGAACGAGTTTTGGGTTGATTCAGAGAGATTTGTTTCAACAACTCAAACAGTTTAACTTTCTCATATGACATAACTTTTTATTATCCTGTTCTCCTTATTCTAGATATGTTTCATCTTGCAAATATTGCCTCTAAATATGATTATTATTGTCTGAGAACTGAATATTCATAAATTACTTGACCTGGATATGACACTTTATTATATCCCTGATTGTATTGCCTATTTTTATAGCACCATACTTAAGTTTCAAATTAATGTCCTCTAGTCACAGACAGGTTTGAGCCCACTTAGCACTTTCAACATTTTCAAACATACCTCAAATGGAACAGATTAATTTTGCACACAGACTGACTCTTTCTAGGCTATTTTTCTGAAATCTGTTTTGTCACATAAATCAGAAGTCCAGTTATCCTAACTCCTTACTCTACCTAATTCCTAAGGTGCTCTTTTCTCATTTTACATTTCTCAGATAGCTAGGTTATAAGTAACAGACATACTTAAAGTAGGTTAAAAAATACCATGCATCTCATGTAGACAATTCTTAAGTACACACAAATCTGTAGAACTAATGAGTTTGGAAAGGTTCCAGAATACTAAATATATGAAAATGTCATTTCTATTTCTATATGCAAGTAATAAATCTTAAAATTAAGCTATGGTGAGCACTGTGAATTGTGCAAGACTGTTGAATCACAGATCTGTACCTCTGAAACAAATAATACATTATATGTTAAAAAAAAAAAGATAGCAGGAGGGGAAGAATGAAGGGGGGAAATCGGAGGGGGAGACGAACCATGAGAGACGATAGACTCTGAGAAACAAACTGAGGATTCTAGAGGGGAGGGGGGTGGGAGGATGGGTTAGCCTGCTGATGGGTATTAAAGAGGGCACGTTCTGCATGGAGCACTGGGTGTTATACGCAAACAATGAATCATGGAACACTACATCAAAAACTAATGATGTAATGTATGGTGATTAACATAACAATAATTAAAAAAACAATAATTTCAATGATAGTATCACATAGAATAAAATACTTAGGAGAAAGGAAGTAAAAGATCTGAACTAAAACCTACAAAGCACAGTTGAGAAGTTAAAAAAAAAATCTAAATGGTTGGGACCATAGCATGTTTATGGCAAAAGGTATTTTGCAAATGTGATTCAGTTAATGCCCTTAAAATGGGGGAGATTTTATATTGTATTATCTAGGTGGACCCAATCTAATCACATGGATCCTTAAAAGCAGAAAATCTTTCCAACCTGTGGTTCCAAAGAGATGTGAATAAACAAGTATCATTGAGATACCATATTGCTGGCTTTGAAGACAGAGGAAGGACATGAGCCAAGGAAATCAGGCAGCCTCTAGAAAGCGGAAAAAGCAAAGAAACGGATTCTCTCCTAGGCTCCTCAGAAGAGATCACAGTCCTGCTGACATCTTGATTTTAGCCCAGTGAAACCATCTCAAATTTCTCACCTATGAATCTATAACAATAAATTTGTGTTGTTTAAGCCACTAAGTTTCTGGTAATTTGGTACATTAGCATAGAAAACACAATAGATGAAGGGATTAATATTATTTTTGTTAACCTATACATTTTTAAACTAAATTAATGACATTTTAATTATTAAAGACAGATATGTTTATGGAAAAATGTAAGCACAGGAGAAAGTTTTGATGAAAACATTGCGGATACAGAGAAATTCAATGCTAATATTAATTTAAGTAACATAAAAATCAAATCACTCAATGTATTTTAAAAGATATTACAATTATTACTGTTCCAAGGTGATTTAATTTCTGACAGAACTTTAAATTTTTTTCCCCAGAATGATTCTCCCACTTCCAGCACCACCAAATTATACAATGCCTGTTGTTTAAAAACTTCACAAATAACAGGTTGTGTGTACTTTGACTAAATCAGTCCAGTGACAAACTGAGATACTTCCTCCCTTTCTGGAGGCAGAAAGGTGGATTTTTGGTTGTTGTTAAAAAATGAGGAAATGACAAATTAACTCTGCCTATATTTATGATACCTAGGCTAGCACTTAAGGGATTTACCTATGATAGTATCTAGATTTTCTGCTGAGGTGCACAAACCATGCCATCACCCAGCTGCCCAAAGTGAAGAAGCACTAGCTAACCCTAATTTGACCCTTCCTAGAACTCTCAGGGAAAGTCGCCATTTGAAGATGATCTTTATTTGAGAATGAAGCATTGATATAGAGACAGATAATATTTTTTAATTTATCTTTTTTAATTCTTGAATCAGTGAGGACAATAGTTTGCTGTTTATGGGTACAAAACAGCCCTGTCCTAGGTATACAAGGGTATACGTAAGTCTGTAACATCATCAGCTACAGTAAATTTACTTTACTAGACAGCATAGCAAAGTAGGATTAACTAAAGATATATTTTCATATGAAAATGCTTTAAAATAACATGAAGTCAATGAACATTTGACTGTACAATTTCCTCTGTCAAAATATAAATGTATGTCAGCTTATGTGTGTGAATTATACTAAGTCAGTCTCAACACAGCCATGTGCTAAGGAATGTGTGAAACACTTCATGAGCAATTCTTTAAGGGGTGTACTGAAAACTTCCAAAAGTACCCCAGATATTTGGCCATAGATAAGGAATAAACTTTAAGGCAATCTTCCAAGCGAATGTAAACTTTTCTGAAGTGGCCTTTCCAGTAAAGTATTACTGTTGTTAAC